TAAAGAATTGACTGTTATCGAAATTTATATCTAAATAAAAAGGAAAGAAAAAACAAATGCTGAATGGAGTCAAAAACATTTTAGTCATTGACTAGATTAAAAATTTCTAAAGACAGTATGTTTAAAAAATGATAAACAGGAACATTATATAATTTGATTCCGTCCTTTGGATAAATAAGAAAATTAAAACATATATGCATTCTTTATTTTACCTGAATCGGAAAGTGTGTGAATATTTGAAACTTCAATTTGCTTTGTTGTATTCCGTGACAATAGAAATGAGTACCACTCTCACCTACCTGTCACTTATATTGAGTTTATCCTATGAGCAACTTCCTTCATGGAAATACGAAATACTTACCGCCGAAAGAACAAATCCATTTAAAAGCTGATTCTTCGCTTTGCAATTGTCTTTCCATCATTATTTATTTCTTTTATCAGCACAAAGAAGGAATTACTTCCTGTAAACATACAATTATGAAATAACTGATTTATCATTGACACAGAACGATTTGGATAAAGGGATACACGTTCATACATCATCACATACGTTAGGTTTAAGATCAGAGTTTTCAAGGTCACCAAGCATCACATATTATCCTGATAACTGAGAAATAACACTTTTCTGCTGAAAAAATCCTGCTGTTCAAACACTCATTTGTCTCGGGAGAAACTTGAGATACTTTCTTCAGCAATATTTGTATCTGCATGGTACCATTAGAAACACTGTAACCGAAGATGAACAAATAATGAACGAACTAGTAAGTTTATTCAAAACAGAACTAAAAGATGTATCTGTATGAAAAGTGTGTTTTGAATTAGAATAAAGCGTTGTAAAATTGATGAGAGGACGATAAAGTGCCCCCGTTATATAGGTCACATCAGTAATCCCTGAAACAGTGAATGGCGGTACATTTCATTTAGTTTTCCTATCACTGAGAGCTGAATTTTAAATTTAGAAAGGAAAAACTCCTAACCTACACAATTCGAAGCGGTCAAAACAGCAAACAGTTAAAACAATAATTCGCCGCTTATCATTCGCCTAATGATACCAAAATATTCATACATATACAAAATCATGAAATTGTAATCAGCCAAAATCCCTAAACCTTGTTATTATAAATCCAGGCTGACCCCACCCCTCTTCAACTTCATCTCATCAATTGTTAACACCTCTTCCTCATCATTATAGCACTACAAAACTATTCACGCACAAGGAGTCCAGTGGTGATATCAAACCATAAAACATTCACACACTTTTTCACAATTCTACTGGAAAATGGCCGCACTATATGATGGCCTTGGAAAACACCTCCCATCCACCCACACACTGACACCCATTCACCTACCCACATACATACACACACACACACACATATATATATATATATATAGATAGATAGGGAAACAGATATAAACATATATGCGCATACTGGAGAGAATGCCAACATTCGTCCTTGAAATTTGACCAGGAAGCGCCACAACCAAAGCGACAGTTATGCATACAACAGGATTGTCAACTACTACCTTGGGCTAATACCTTGACCGGTTTCACGATTAAGCTCAAAAGTAAGCTTAAGTTATAAACTGTACAAAATAGTGGAAACCTATAAAAAAGAAAAGGGAAATGAAGTATAACATTAAGGAATGAGATTTAATGCGGCACGTTGTATCAAGAAAACAATTTGATTAGTAATCGCGATTATCATGATTAACATCGTTATCACTACCACTTAGTATCACTATACCCACCATCACCAAGGACTGGCGCTTATAGTGATGATCTAAAGCTCTTTATACATCTATTCAATAACTCTTCCTTTTTGCTGTTCCGGGAAAATAAGCATTTTCATTTTAAACTTGAACAAGTTAGGGAAATTTGTCGAAGAAATACATGAAATTGACACCTAATTCATAAACAAACAAATTTAAACCATGTACTCTGAGGTGGCAAATAAAGTAATAAATGTATATGGGGCATGTGTCACCTCATTTCCCTTTAGCTTTCAAATCTGATAAAATTTATCACATTATATTACTATAGCAACAGCATAAGTAATAAATGATCACAGCAATGTTATTAATTACCTATAATACTTCGATGTATTGATAAACAAACTGCCACCAGTGCTTGATTTCTACATATTTAAAATTTCGAGCAAAAAACAATCTTTCTCGCCTTTTTCTCATACTACACTTAATCTATATGCTCGAATTTCAAACTGGACCCAACGTGATAAAGGTTAACACTTGTCCATGTGAAAAAATGCATTAACGAAACAGTGTTTTACGTGAACCGTAAAGTCAAATTTATTTCTAAAATTCAGATTCATGTTTATATAACAAGAATTCGTGCTTTTCGCGTTCAAAACTCTACACACTATCAACCCTCAAATATTCAAATATAATCTCAATAATCATATATGTATGTAAATAAATTGTCAAGTACCAATTTTCAAGAAATTTTTGCCACGCGTCGAATCACGTGGTCAGAGAGGCGGATGAAAGAGAGAGTCATATGCTTATTCGTTCTACAAAGGAAATCTGTCTATCCTTCAACACAGAAATCGAGTAATTCCATCAGCAGAGCTCCTCGATGCGAATCATTATGGCACTGTCTCGATCGATAAGGTTATAATCGATAAGGTTATACCAAACATCAGAATAAGTAATTCGAGGGGAAGCCAACATGTGAGGTAACAAAAAATCCCATTTCCGTTATTTATGTCTACTGTACACTGTATTGTTAGGCAGACACACAAAGAGAGAGAGAGAGAGAGAGGGGACTGACAGACATATGTGCTACGAATGATCTCGGGGAAAACATTGTAAGTAATTGATGAATGAAATGAATAGAAGAGAGTAAACAGAAGAGAGCTTTTGTTTCCCGAGGATTCCCGATGCTCGCAAATTGTTTTATGGGAAGTTGGCCGTTATTCTGATAAGGGAAAATAATTAAAGTGAAGCAGCATTTTTGAAGAGAGATTGTGAACCTCATAGGATTTCAACTGACTCATTTTTCCCTCAAAATACATCGATAAATTTGTTCTTTTTTTATGACTACAGTTGAATGAATTTATCAATATCTCGTCACTATACGCTGATAACAAGCAACCATTGTCACCCTTCCAACATTACGATAACAGCTACTTTAGCGAGCAATTTTTGAACTTTTTCAAACTCGAAGATTTCCAATCTATGACAACTCAATCAAGAATCATATTCATTCATATTATTAAAAGGAACACCCTGACCTTTCATATAACATCCTCTTCGATCAGACAGTCTGCAATTTTTTGGTTTGATTTTCAACAAACAACAACACTCTAAAAAATATTAAGTCTGCATGTGCACGGTAGACCTCTGAAATTTAAGTCGGTCCTGGGAAAAATTTGAAAGAGATCTACTAAGGTATCAAAAAATACTTTCTCCAAGTACCAAAATTCAGTTCAGCTTCCAAATCTTTCTATTTTACAGCAGCGCTATTCACTTTCCCCAGTAATATTCGTCCTAGCACAAAAAGATAAAAAATTTTGTTGGCTTTAGTATGAAGAAAAAAGTGAAAAATTTGGTTGAACATCTGCTATAGCATAAATCATATAGTTTGCTGTTTTACTCCTGCTAGCATTAATGAATCTTACTAATGAAATGCACTAATTACTTACCATCCATCCCACTCCTAAACTTCGCAAAATTTCAGGGAAAATTTTCAAATTTCAAAATCTTTGACTATTTTTTTTTAAAAAAATTGATTTTGTGGTTGAACAAAAAACACAAAATTCTACAAAATAAAGTGAAATTCCAAGTATTAAAATGAACACATTGAAGCAAATTTCAACCGCTACCAATGATACTGGTCATAACTACAAACATGGCATTGAAAGTAACAAAAGAGGTGACGGACAAAAAAGAATTATAACTATTTATTAATAGAAAATAATTAACAAATTGCGCCGTTCATTTCTGCATCCAATATCCTTTCACTAAGAAGGAAATCTCCAAAATGCATCTTCAAAACAATCAGATCATGAAAAATAATTTTGCAACTAAATATCCAATCAATTCATGAATTTTAGGTAAGAATTCTCAGGGTTAGGAGGCAGAATGGATTAACGGCTAAACCTTATTAGTCACAGTGATAAGCGTGCTAAGAAAGATGGTTGTGGTAATAACGAAACACTGATTATAATAATAACTGATGAGAAGAATGATGATAAGGATTATAGTGAGAGTGATAAAGACACCAGTGGACGTTCACCAATTTTTGCGAGAAAGTGATGGTAACAATTTGTAGAGTTTCAAGTTAATCTAAACGGGGCTGGCTGCGTCTTTCCACAACTAAATGAACAGTCACAGAAGCTAAAATGGATGAGTGAAGTGTGTTGTAGAGGTTAAATTTATACTGCATGAAATTATTAGTAATAAACATTCAATTTATTAAAATATAGTTATAAACAAGTTTGCGTCGCATCACTGGAATCTCACCGAGTAACACTGTTGCTAATTCAACAACAGGAATTTGAATGAAACTTTTCATTTCAAATCAAGATAACATTTCTCACATTTGCCCACTGAATAACTTTAACCTTTCACGTATCCAAAAACTTTCATACACCAGTAACCTTCGAACTCTAAGATATTTATTTCTACAACCCCTCCTCGGCAATGATTTATTTGATTTAAATAATTTTTATTAAAGCAAAGTCATTCTCAGTTTCCGGAAAAATAAGCAAATCCTTTGAATTGATAAAATAAATCTCACAAATAAGCAAAGCAAACATGATTATACTTCGAATCAAGAAGTTTGAACCCCGAATTTATCATTTAATGAGCAGAAATCTTTTCATCTGAAACACTAAAACAAGTAGAAAAATGTCAAAATTGCTATGCAGGCCAGAAATCACTGATATAGAATACCACCACAATTCTTAATCTATGTTATCAGTAATCATAAATCCCAGTAAATACAAAGTTTTATTTGTTCCACAATCACTGCCGTTATGGGTGATAAGGTTTGTGTTCCCAGAGAATTTCCAGCAGTACCATTACCAGCGAGACCAAAACTTAAATTTCTGCAAATACATCATCATCTTTTCCTCCAGACACTGCCAGTTACCGCCAGTTTGAATCAACCGGTACAAAAGCCAGAAAATAATCAATTAAAACCCGTTTCAGAGGAACTGAGAAACATGGACGTAATTCCATTATTTTACTAATAACACAACAACAACTAATTACTACTACTGTTGTTCCTATGCTATCATTATATTTATTATTATTATCTTATTACTACTATTATTATTAATACTATTACTACTACTACTACCAGTAGTCTAAAAACGAACTATGAATCATGTACATTACACGTCCAATCATTATGATGATCATGAAAGTAAAGTAAGGTCAATAGCTTTGCTACAAATGCTCTCATCAAGCGAATGATCACTGTACGTACATTACAACGACGATTACAATGAGAAAAGGGTCTACAGTACCCAGCAAATAATTATCTTAACGGTATGGAATCCAGAAAGAAAATAATAGAGAAACCATATTGCTGTCACCTTCAGTGAAGCATTTCTGATACTTACACGTTTTATGACACTGCAAGGACAAGACAACTGTACTCTGCAAGTACCAATGCGCATAATATTCAAGGCTAAATCCATTTGTATTGCGTTTTCATTCCTGCACTATCAACACACACCGTGTTCGCTCCTTCCATCTTGAATGTAATAACCAATAGTACAGCACTGATAGATATAGCAATACTTTCTCTCCCAGTTAAGTAAGTATATTTGTGTTATCAATGTTCGTCACACCGAGCTAAATTGTGCTCAGGTTCCAAAATGTGAAATAATATAAATAAAGGAGAAAGATACCAGGAACAGTTCAGGTATGGAAGTTATAAAATAGGCAAGAGCATTACTAGCTTTACTATAGTTGTCTATCCCGTTAACAAATCCAATTTGGACTACTTCTGAAAATTGAATTTGCATAAAGCAGCAGTTTCGATGAACTCCTTTCTTCTCTTTTCACAACAACCTATGAAAGAAGCAAATGAAGAAAGTTGCTTATTGCTATTGGCAAACCTCCACAGCTGAACTCACTCAAAACTTTTTCTTTCATCTATAATGGTTAGAATAACAAAATATTACAAAACAGGAATTAGTGAATCCAATCGATTATTGAGAAAGCTAAGATTTACTGAGAGTCCTTAACTTTGCTTCCAAATTTCAGCTGTTTTTTTAAACTAAAACTTTCCAAATCTGTGAATCATTAATGAATCGGTAATTCCCTCAAACAAACTGATGGGTGAAAAATGAATAAATGGAAAATGATGTAATTGTAATTGCTCGACACATCGTAAAGTGATAGCAACATTACTCATTCTGTTACTGTAGATCCGGATAATGCTGGCAGGGAATAAAGAATTTATTAGCTGCATTAAAAAATCGATTACTTTAAAATTTTGATGATGTGCTATTAACTTAAAAGACAACAATAATAGTGACATTCTCTGGATGCAAATATGGATATGCTTGTTTGACAGGTGGGTGAAAAAGCTATAGGAGATGCAATGTTGCAGTGTCAGATGAAGTAAATTAGGACCGATCCTGACGCAGTTTGGAAATATGAAGAACGAAACGATGGGACGGTTATCGCTTGTATAATGAGAATAACGTGTGAACGGTGAGATACGAAAGAGGGAAGGAATAGGAAAATGAGTAATGGATGGGTGGGTGGGTAGATGGATGGATGGGTGGGTAGGTAAATGCATGAACTGAGAGGGTAAGAAGGACTTTCAAATAATTTCCTGCACATATTTGCAGATAGAAAAATGCAAATTAATGAATAATTGCTGATAAACTGTGCTAAAGCGCTTGCGGAGAGGCATTGAAAATTATAATGTAACAGCGACCGTTTGTATTATAATTGGGACTGAGTGAGACAGTATCGGAGTGAGTCATGCAAAAGAGATGCTTCAACTAAAGGAACACTTTTTTCTACGGAAGGAAGGATAACAAGCTATTCTCTGATCAACCTGCTGAAAGGTTAATAGTCATTCATGGAAGTCTTTCAGTATCGCTTTCATCCTTTTCAATTCTTAATAAATATAGATGGAAAAAAAAAGATATTATTCGTAATACTATCTGCAATATTTAATTCATTGAATACAATGATAATCAGATATCGACACCATCAAATCACAGAAATGCAGCATCTCAGCACGCTATTTATTTTTAACTCTGTGGCAATTTGATATTAAACAAGTAGGATGTAATAATGGAAAGAAAGAACTCGGCAAATCATCTAATAAAATTGACATAAGAAGTTGAGAACCATTTCACTACAACCTAAATCTTGCCCTATTGCCCTATTTACTTCCACTAAATGACTTCTAGCCAAGGATTGGAACATCGTTTTGGAGATGATGAATTTAAAATTTTTAAAAATTTAAAATTTACTGAAAAGCGGAAACAGTAGTCCTATTGATGTTTACCCCACATACCGTGTCTCCTCCCGTCATTTACTTTTTTGGATGAACGCACCATACGTAACTAGAAAATTGAAATAAATGCATAAAAAGTTTCTTTCTGGAATTTAGAAGAAGCGAATAGGATAGGATACGCGGGAGAGGAAATATAATTTATCAAAAGTAAACGAAACAAAGAAAGGGAATGCACCATATCACCCGCACTGCCCGCACCGCACCGCACCGCACCGCACCGCACCAGCATTGCCTACCGCTACCAGCTCCGCCAATCTATCTGGCACAAACAATGGGAACTTTCCAAACCAGTGGCCACTCTTCCCAACCCTCTCTTCTCCTCCCGCGTCTTTGCAATCACCGCTACACAGTTCTAATCGTTGTGACTATAAAATTATTATATCATCGTCCGTCAACATTATTTATTGTTCTTTATGATAACTTATAGATGGCACATCAATGAAATATCAGTGATTGTGATATCAGCGAAGTGTCATTACATTTTGTCTCTCTCATACATTTCGGCATCAGGTCGATCACTCTGTACTGTGGATGAGGGTTATCGGGGATAACTTAGCACCTAGCATTATCACTGTTGCACTTGCATCCTGCACTCCAGCAGTAAAGTAGATCCGTTCGTGAATGACACCGGTAATCGCTAATCAGCACTCAAGATATGTGTTGTTTCATTGGAAAAATTGAGCAACAAGCGGTAATGTTCTTTCCTTGAAGGAATTATTGCTTGCAAACATTTTCTGCAATCCCTTCTTCAGCTTTATCTAAGACATATCGGCACTGCAGTCTATTGCAGGAGGAAAAACAGGCAAAGTTGCAATATTTACAAAAGAAGATAAGGATTCTTCTGAAGAGTGTCTACCTTTTTTAGCTTTTTTTGAAGTTTGAAAAGGGCAAGGAATCAAAAAAGGTCAAAAATGTCGAAACACAAGACAGGTGAACCATCCTTTAACAAATATCAAGCAAAAGTTGAACATGTGTGATACCTGAGTACCATTTTTCTTTATCACCGTTTTTTGCTTTTTATCACATGCAAAAAAACAACTGTATCAGCAATAATTTAATTTCAATGCTAGCAACTACCAATGAAAATGAAGGAAGAATTAAATCCAGGAAAATTCAACGCTAATGATGGAAAGTGAAGAATTTAAATTTTTATTGTTAGCCCAGTAGAAATATGAAAAATTTAGTAAACGGCAATGTTAGTTTCACAATTCTGTTTTTTAGCTTTCCTTTTTATTTACTTCACATCAAAATATGCTTATATTTCCGATTTTTTGAAATTTTATTTTGAGAAAAAACTGAAAAGATTGTTTACGGATAAGCAAAATGACTTCGGGTAGGGAAACTTTTTTTACTGCTTCTACACAAAAAGGATGATAATAAGAGAAAGATTATGAGATTGTTATGGGAATGGAAACGGAATTCTTTTAATATTTATTTATAATAGACAGATCAATACAGCGTATGCTCAAGTATCGAAGAGTTTTTTACTACCGAAACAAAGTATGCCGAATATACGATGATGCTCTTCTATCATAAGAAGCAAATGAGGAAAGAACAAACCGATTGAAAAACTTTGCAGGTCAAGAAATGACTAGGGTCATTGGATGTCCTTAATGACAATAGAATAATAAACAATTATGTAAATGTTAGTGTTTGTTGTGACTAATGCTAAATAAATTTGGGTTCAAAATATAAATACATTACAAGACAACGTAAGGAGGCGCGAATCACTTTTTCGATATTATTATATTAACTCGCCATTTTTGGAATGTTTTTAACTTAAGGAATAATAATATACCAATTAAGTGGCTGACAATTAAGAGAAGGGAATATTAATAAAAGTTAGGAGTAAACATACACGTTGATATTAAAATGCGGACAGATGGAATTTGTTTACTGTGTGTTATGCTGTTCGAATAACCTAATTCTAATCACGTAACGAGAGAGAGAGAGAGAGAGAGAGAGACGGAGAAAGAAAGAGACACTGCGGAAGGTACTGCACTGAAGGATTATTATCATTCAAAAAAAAAGTCACTCAGTGTACCTTTTTTCCGTCTTATATTCAGGAATAATCAGGAATTTTCGACTTATGCATTGAAATTGCTTGAAAATTGAAACTTCCGAAGGAAATTCTAAAAGAAGCAGAAAGTAGCATGCGAGTACATCTTTCAGTCCTATTCGAAATCAGAAGACATGTCTGATAATACATTCTGAAATTAACAAAATCAATAGCAACTGTGCCAGATCAAAGGTAAATTTTTGACAGTTATATCATCAAGCACTTCAAGAAAGTCCAGTGGAAAACTGCATTTACCGATATGATTGATCAGTCTGAGGTGATGCTTGTTCGAGATCAGTTTGAGGTGAGCGTGACTATTAGCTTTACGTGTAATGTGTACAAGATACTCCGGATAATGATATTTTCTGGCACTTTATCCTTAGCAGAAATGGCTTGGGCAGAATACTCTGCTGCCTTCGTGCACTGCATGACTGCACTGATAATCACGCATGAAACAACACCGACGTCATTCTTCTGCCACTACTACCGGTCACTAGCCTAGCCACACTCCCGGCTAACACACCAACTACAAGTGGTGAAAACAAGTGGTGTCAGCAGCAACTCTTCGCCAGCACTCCACGCATCCTCTTGTGTAGTACAGTGATGTATGACATATGTGTGTGTGTGTGTGTGTAGTACTGGAATTGCAGATGCCACTAGATTCCTTTTCTTTTCTGCAATGGACAAACAATATTTTAACAGTAGGTGAGATAGATCCTTACGATTGAGGGACGGCTGTTACTGATAACAATAACAGTAAAATATATATAAGAGGAAAAGAGCAATTAAGTCGATGATCAAATAAGGATTTGGAATGATATTTCGGTGAAGATTATAGAGTTGCATATTTTAACTACGATGGCTGGGTACCAATTTTAATGGAAAAACCGGATAATAACCAGCATGGATGATAGATAGGATCTTCAAAAATGAAAAAGGACATTTCCGATCGTTAGGTCAACAGAGCTGGAATATTCGCAGTAGCACCACGAGCATAGCAGTATGGTTAAAAGGGTATACACATCAGCAATACGATGTATCCGCGGTACTGTCACTGGTATCAGAGGTGCTAGTGGTGGGCTGATGACTGCGATGCTGTCTGTGCTTGTCGGTGACCTTTGTTTGTACATTGAATTATACAAAACTCTTCCTTCACAATACCATTCGCGCACTATCTCTCTCTTCTGCAACCCTGCCCCTTTGTACCCCTTATTGAAGAAATTTCCAACTACAATTCCCATCCTCAACCACATCTGAACCTCCTAAAAACCCTCCATGCATTTGACCCTTCCCCCTCTCCTCTCATCAACAAAACTGTCTAGACAATCAACAACTTTTCCTCCTCCGTCATGACCAAATGACGACCACTAGTGCTAAACGCTACTGAAACAAATTATTCACCTAACCATGCAAGCTATCATTATTAACCAATCGCCATCCTTTTTCCTTACTTAGTCTAAGGGCATTTATTACACCATTTATTTGTTTATTTAGCTAATTATTTAAAATTTGCACATTTATTATTATTATTAATTATTAACTGTTATTATCATTTCACCAATACATGGAATTTTACGATAGATTCTGCCCCTTCCTCCATTATATGAGAAATATTAGCCATTTGTAAGCGGTTGAATCTATAATCTTTATCTTTGAAAAATAACGTATGCTAATTTTAGTAATTTCTACAACATTCACTATTTTTAAACAGCCAAATTATTATTTGAATAATTTTGAGAGTAAATACTTCATAGATACAACTAATTGTCAAGAAAATCGCGGAACGGTGGCTTGGAAGTTCGTTGATACCTTCCATGTTCTAAGAGGTCCAGCCATACTTTTCTTAGAGCATCGCAAATTTCGTCAGAAGCAGGTCGGGTCTCCCAAAAATCAAAATTTTTTAAAAACGTATGTCGCTTTGATGTTGCGTTTCCAAAGGATCTGATATCTATTCATAAGCAGTTATGTTTTGAATTTAAAAGGATGTTTCTTATATCAAGAAATATATTACCTTGACAGCCATAAAGCTAGATATCTTCATAATTATAAGTACAGTCATTAGTAGTACTAATGCTAATAGTTATGCTGCAACAACTTGGCTGCCTTTCATTAATCCGCTTGTTTTATTTAAAAAGTTTCAAACTATGATATTGTTTAGAAGTAGTTAATGGAATGACATCTCTCTACAAAAAGTGACACATATTCACTACTACACTGAAGCGATTTCTTAGCAATACAATCAGGTCACACAGAACTACCAAATTCGAATTGAAGTACTCTATAGACACCTCCTTAATCAGATCACAAAACTCTTTTTGTACTCCTTTCATCAAGATTTCCTGCTTGGATTCTCAAATAAATTCCCGAAACATCTAGAATGGAATTCATAATGAGAAGTCATCTCTTCCTACCAGTTGTTCTTTAATGGTTTAAAAGTTTTTCAAAAGATTAATATTGAAGGATTTGAGTTGAGATGTAGTGCATTGATGGCTGTGTGTCCACCTTTTGGTATCAGGGTGATGGTTTAACAAAAGTGGAATTTATTGATATTCAAAACTGATCTCTTCACAGGTTTCTAGAATTCGGTCGGGAGTCTAAATTTGTGCACTTCATTTATGCTAGTGGACGTTTTGTTTTTTGTTCAGGCTATCAGTTTGCAGCAGATGTTTTCATATTGCTGCAATAGATAATGCTGATATTGTAACATAAGAGAGAATGAATAGTTGAACAACTGAATTTTGTCAACACATTCTTTGGAATTACATATTATTCTCGATTTAGTGACACATGAAATGTCAATCTTCTACTAGCATTCGTTTATTAGACATAAAACAATAATTTTTTTAAAAAATTTTTTTAAAAAAAAAGTAATTTTAAAAATTTTTTAAAAAAAGTAGATTACGACTAAAAAGAAATCATTCCATAAAATCATGTTTACATTCATTCTTCTATTCCCATGAGTTTGAATTTGCTAAAATAACGTTACGTTTCGAACGCAGCTAAATTTATATCTATTTCTCGGAAGGATTAGAAGAATTTGCTGGAGGTAGATTTAACAAAGTAATAAATACACCTCAACCATACTTATAACTATTCAAAAGTTGCAAGTTACATATTACGATTTCATATCCAGGATTGATGAAAGGACAACGACATTAAATTAGTATCAATATAACTATTGTTAATAATTTAACTCATCGTTTAGAAGAAATTCAAGAATTGAAAATTTTAAGGAGTCATTTACTGCGTTCAATGACATTTTTTAGTAGTAGCAATAGCTTTACAAGTAGTTGTAGTAGAGGAATTGGAAGAAATTGTGGAGAAAGAAATAGATGAAAGATGAATAGGAGCCAAAATTAGTAATTAATATACCTATCTGGCATAGCAAAAATCATAAATCATTAGTTGTTAGGCATACGACATGTGAGCGTAGCTCAGTTATGTCTTGCCATCATCTTGACTTTTTCACAAAAATTTCGCTTCATTGTGTGAGCAGGCAATTGTTAGTCTTCGCAAACGAACATATCAATGAACCGGTTCATCTGTTCTCCACTTAATTTATTCTATTTCTCCGTGGCCATTAAAAAAAAAGACAAAATACTACAATTTAAAACTACGAGCTCATTTGTACATACACAACTTACTCTTATCACTAACAAAAATTCTGGTAGAAAAAACTTTTCCATTTACAAATAGCATTGCTTTCCGGCGTAGTAAACTATAAATATTATGCAAAAGTATGAAGTTAAGGTGGAGTATCTTTTATAATTTCTCGAAACATTCAAGTACTGAAAACACAGCATGATCTATTTGTGTACTAAAGCATGGTGTAACCAGCTAGCACTGACATTATTAGCAGATAGATTATGGTTGAATAAAAAGAAAGGCCGAATTAAGTTTTTTCAAATTGTTATACAGAAATTAAGTGTTGTTAAAATTGCCCATCACTACTGAATTGGTGATGAAAGGTAGTAAAAAGCAGTACGACTGTCAGATGTCAATGAGCAGTTCTGGATAGTAAAATCAAGGCAAGGTAGTTGACGAAAGTCATGGTGAGTGTTGAAATAAGAAAAAGTTAGACATTTATATAAAGGATAAGTAAATGAGATGAACTTAATTGTAAATAGGCCGAGAAGATTGCAACTCGAGCATGAATTCATCATAATTTGTCAACTCAATTGAATGAAAACTTTTAGTCGTAACAATTGATGCAAATTCGAATTTAGTGATTATCACAAATTTAGATCTTGCTTCTCCCCTCGTTTAACAAATAACCATCCAATCTTGCTCACACAGATTGCAGTTGCACGTGCATATAACTTTCCCAACATTCAGTATCTTCCACTCGCCACTCCCTTTCTAAAAGTACAATAAAAATTATTTTATGTATACAACACAACTTGTACTAATGCTACTATCCTTTTATCAATTTTCAGTATTAGATTTGAAATTAAAAATTTAACACATCGCAATACGTTTTAGTTTGTCAACTCCGATCCGCCTTCCTTAAGTCATTTTGATTTATCTTACTTCTAAGTGCTGCTTACAATTTAGCTCACTTCAAATGTTGCTTCAGCATCTTAGCGATATCATCAACATTGCAGTAGTTAAGACAATTTCCCTACTAATTTTCGTACATCCAAATAGAGTAAGGTAAACTTTTCTGTATTTCCATTATTTTTCTTAACAAATGCAATATCACAGAACTTGAAGTAGTACTGCGCTATTGTTAATCTCTTCAGTTGATGTTAAATTTTTTAATACAGTACTTAATAAGAATGAATCACACTTACAAATCAGTTTTGAAAAATAAGAAATATTTTACCACATAATACGTTCGAGCTTTCATTACCTAGCAGCAATATCCCAACATATTGTCACTCCTTCCCAACAAGTTATGGTTTTGAATTTATTGCAGTAGGTCACGGTGACATTTGAAAAATGTCGTGAGATTTAAAATGACATGACGAAACAACCGTTATATTCAATCAAACACTAAGTTCAAAAAGCATCCAAAATTTTAGCTGGGAAACAATTTTATATACATAATCATTCATGGTAAATAAAAGTCAAAAAAATAACCTATAGCTTTTATTATGTAATAAGATATGCAAAATTTGATTCACTGAAGATTAGCCCAAAACTGTTTGGATGTTTGCAAAGCAACCGTATCAACTTTCTTGTAGTTAGCTTTTATTTCAAAAAAAAAAAAAAAAAACAGCTAGATTAAACAAAAAATGAAAACTTTTCATCGAAATTTAAATCGGTAGTATAAATCAATATCGATAGCACATTTCAATTAATAAAGCATTCAATTCCCTCAAAACTGTCAAAAAAGGAGCGTAGTAACGGGTGAAAAAAAAATGCCAGATAAAACCTCTTGTCTCTCAAGGTTCTATTACATGCATGAAAATTAGCACTGGCTTCGATTTACATAGAACAGAAAACTGTTACATAGGTGGGAGCTATAAAGCTTCCAGAGAAGTTATAGCATTTTTCTTTTATGTTTATTTTTTCTTCGAAATTATGAGACATAACCACAACGAGATGAAAAAAAAGAAATTAAGCTAGTGCTTAGGTTTACTCAAGAAAGATATAAAAAACACAGCTCTTGAAAAAAGGGGAGATTCGGAAAACACTTTTTTGTTTTGAAACATCAATGAAAAGGAATAACTTTATAATATCAAAGGAAAGAAATATTTAAAAGAATGTAATAAAACTATTAAAATAATTTCTGGAGACTATACAAATACGTAGATATAAGTGATAGGAACCGTATCAATGAAATGTAGAGCTCCTATGAGATTACAAGCATCGAAAATAAAGACTGAGGATGGAAAAGCTGAATTCGCTGAGATTAGTTTTTTCTCAAACCACTATGACAACAAACAAATGTTTTAAAAATCCGATGGTTTCTCAATTCGAGTTTTGGGATTCACGAAGGTGAGCTACCAGATGATCTGGAGAAATATGTCCTTGGCATATCTGGTGCACAGCTGAGAACAATGGAAATCTGAAAAGAAATATATAGATATAAACACAAAATAGGTATGAAAATTTCGAATATTAACTACGATGAGGATTACCACAAGTTTCATGTTCTTAAGAGTTAACTATCTGACTCATTCTAGAATTAATTTCTTGACAGCAAGATTAGTAGAATTCTCAAAAAACTCTTCTGTAAGTTTCTCTGTGAATAAGGTTGCATCAATATTAAACTAACTCAAGAATTGTTACCTTGAAACCATGTTGT